TGACGGTCCAATTCATCGTCCCATGCCAACTTTAGAGTCCAAGCTTTTTGCAATAGAATTTTAGGCTTTATTAATATTGGACTCAGAAATCCAATAGGGTCATATATCTGAGCTAAGCAGGACAGGATACTCCTTTTGGTTATCTTGGGGGGTGTGGCTACGGGAATTTCACATGACAAACAATCTTCCCTTTTATCCCAACATACACCAAGCACTTTAGATATCTCTGCTCTTTCAAAGGGGTAAGTATCGGAGGCCACGTCCAGGCTATGCTCCCAACGGCTTAGCTCCAACCTAGCATTATCCATGATGGACGTTGCGGTCAATTTGAGATCTTGTAACTCTTCAAAAGAGTTCACGCTTGTGACTAAATTGTCCACATAAAAGGATTTCTGCAACCTCTGAGCTAACGGTTTATGTTCAGGTCGAACATTAGACAGGTGGTATTCTATTACTGCCCCCAAAATGAAAGGACTACAGTTAACGCCGAAAACGACACGTCTATGTCTAAATACTTCTGTCTTTTCTCCATTTTGGGAATACCACAGAAAACGCAGGTAATCTCTGTCCCTTTCATTCACCTCAATCTGAAGAAACGCTTTCTTAATGTCTGCCACGACACCAAACTTGCCATTTCTAAACCTTAGCATAAGGTTGGGAATCATCTCTATGAGGTTAGGTCCCTTTTCAAGACAATCATTTAAAGATGGGGATCTATAGACCTTGCTAGAAGCATCAAAGACAGGCCTGATAGGCGTAGTCCCACTGGAGAGTTTCAACACAGGACGATGAGGCAGGTAGAAGGCCTCAGCGTCGTGTTGTTCAGCTGGGACTTTCTCAATTATCCCATCATCCAACCAGCCTCGGAAAATATCATCATAGTCCTCATAAAGATTCAAAGAGATTAATTTCTTAGTCGTCTGTTCTAATCTCTTCATAGCAACCTCCCTGTTGTCCGCGATTTTAGCTTTCTCTACAGTCCACGGGAGGGAAACAACATATCTTCCTGAAACAGAATGTTGGACTGTTTTTAGAAAATGTCGACGCGCCAGTGCGTCTCTCTGATCTCTCTGTTTAACCTCAATAGGATCCATAATGCCAAGAACATCGAGATTCCACAGATTGGTTATACTGCTCTCCGAAATTGTCATCGTTGTAACATGATGAGCGAGTGAAACGTCACTACCTGGCTGACATTCTCCCATTAAAGTCCATCCAAAACGCGTCTGCGACGCAGTCAAGCCATTTGACAACACACAAGATTTCATCATGAAAATAGATCCCAATACATCGCATCCTAGAAGTATTTCAATTTCCATGTCATCCTTTCCAATATCAGGAACCCAGATTCTGCGGGCTTTGAGTTCTTTCAACCATGGCCCGCGGCTCAATCTTGGTAGGCTACCACAGATTTTTTTGTTGGTCAAGAAGCTTCGCTACCATCTTAAAATTCCCCGATGCATGACCCAAAGTGACCCTGTATTCTTGGTTGATACTTTCACTAGTATGGCCTCCAAACACCACGTGTTTAACTGATTCCTGGCCAATGGGAGATAGTCCGAGATCCTGGGAAGTTTTAATTCTATGGTGTGAGCTCGAAGCGAAGCTCACTTCACTGGTCGTGGAACTAGACGCAGCGACCTTAGGTTTAACAAGAGCCAGACATTTTTTATATATCTTCTTATATCTGTAAGTATATTCCATGGCTTCCACATCGTCGTGCTCTAGTTCCTCTTCGCTAACGTCTGAAGTTAGCATGAATTCCATTATCTTGCCTTGGATCACAAAAAGCTCACTGTGAGTTTCTTCAAGGACTTTTCTATTATATTCAATGTCCTCTACAGGTATCGGTGGAGTACCTGACAGAAACTCTTCTGTCGTCTTCAAGATGCGAGTTAGTCGCTTTCTAAGTAAATTTCTATGTCTTTTTAAAATTTCCATTTTTCAAAAAACACTATAAACAGAGGGTAAAACAAAAGGTACTTATCTTAAGTCTTGAACTTGTACTCCGCCGTTAATCCACTTGATCTTGCCTTGTCAGAAGCCCACCCGCGGGGACGCCACTTTGAGTAGAAATGTAGGGTAGTCGGTTCACAAAACACTGAGCGAGATTCGGTAGAAGAATTCGCTGTGATGATTCTTTGTGGGCTGTTGCAAGGATTTAAATAAGATCACTAAATAGCAGAAAGGAGGGGTAAAAATCTCCTTCTAACTAACTTTATTTAATACATATTAAGAGGACAGAGGAAAACACGCGACTGGTGGGTAGCAAAACCAGCCGTGTTCTAATGTTTATGTCGCGGCTCCTTTGATGCAGGCAGGGGCCGCCGTGTTTACACAGCTGTCTGGGCTGCCTGGGCTGCGTCCGGAATAAAGGATCTCCACCATTCCACACAAGGGGATGTTAAGATGTGTCTATTCCCATATATGACCAGTTTACGACGTTCTCCAGTGTATCTTCCAATACATACCTAGTTTACGACATTTACAAGTGTCTATTCCCATAGATGGCCAGTTTACGACGTTCTCCAGTGTCTCTTCCAATACATACCCAGTTTACGACATTTACAAGTGTCTATTCCCATAGATGGCCAGTTGGCGCATACATTTCCTTCATATCAGGGAGATGCAAACAAACTGTAGAATATTAGCCAACCTGCACGCTCCATCACAAGAAACTGATTGTCATCTCTTTTTAAAACTGCTATGTTTTATATTTATACACGCGTATGCATTGATTATTTTTTCAAACTTAAAAAAAAAAAAGTGCTAATCGGGATTCGAACTGGGATTCTTTTACCAGCTGTTGCTGTTAGGTGCTAAAAGTACCATATCTCCATTAGTAGCGTTATAGGAACAGGTTGTGGTCTTAAAAATAAAATAAACCATCATGGCGGACAGAAGCGACAAAAAATAAGGCGCCCAGAAGGTGGAATCGAACCACTCCGCTTTTAAACGGCTACAGGTTTGAAGCCTGCACCCCGGACCTCCGAAGTTCATCTGGGCAACTGAGATTCCTTTAAAACATATTTAAACTTATTATCGAGTATATGTGTTAATTTTTAATTATAAGGCTATTTTTGATTATATTTTACAAATAACATTAATATATATAGTAACGACCGTCTTTCCTCAATTCCTCATGTCACGGATGCGCGCGCATCATCATTATGATCATTATCTTCTATAGAAGCTTCTATCTTTATAATTATGTATATTTACAAAAAGTCAATTCGCTCGCGCCTCTAGCGGTGAAAATGAGGGGTGATACCAGCTGACCTAATGTACATGTAAAGTTTGGAGCGGGACGTTTCACAAGAGTGACATCCACGGCTCCAATTTATAATTGTAACAAATAGTATTGGAATAAAAACATTCAATCGGGTAAAACACGGGCAGCCCGGGTCCATTCGTCTAGTTATATATATGGAGGAAATTTGAAAAAGAAGAAATTTTAAAAGCGGCATCTCCTAATTTCTCTACAGACCTTATTACAACGATAAAATTATTAAATGAGAAGGCATGGCTCACCAGTGGTGAATCCTCTCAGCGGTTTCGCTAAATTATCTCCAGACCGCTCTATTTTATGGGATGTTTTGTTATGTACCCTGAAATTACAATAGAAGGAAACTTAGGGATGTTTAGGGAATCTATGAATATAAGCTTAGCAGTCCTATATGTAGGGTATATAAGAAATTCAGTCTAATACAATAGTAGAGCGGTCTGTATATTTAAATGTCCAAACCATTGGGAGAGTTAACCATTAATGAACCATGCCTTCCCTCTTCAATATTTATTCATTGCAGTATAAAGGCTGTAGAAAAATAGATTTAACTTGAGTGTACTTAAGAGAATAGTCCAATGTTTGAAATATTTATAAATTTTCATTGCTACAATATATTAACTGAATAACCCAACTCGTGTTGTTCTGCCCTAATGAATATTTGATGAAAGAACTAATTATAGAATTAGTAATTAGATTATAGAAGATTATAGTAGATTATAGAAGATTATAGTAGATTATAGAATATATAATTCTTATAATTGAAGAATTTATTGATAAAATGAAAGTGTCTAAATTGGCGTTCAATATTTATTTACAATCAATACTATTAAACAAGCCGGGTAGTTGGCGATTTATGCTCTAGGAGCCCAGGTTACCTCTATTTTCTTTATTAAACAAGCAAGGTGATTTACATTCTATAAAATTAAAAATCACGAATATAAATGTGAATATTAATACAAAGCAATAGCGCGCCATCTACATACAACGAATAAAGACATTAAGAAGCGAATGTTTCTTTTCATAAATAAATCAAACTTCTATAATCAAACTTGAACGCCAATTTAGAGAGAGAGAGAGACACTTGCATTTTATCAATAACTAGACGAATGACCCGGGCAACGCCCGGGTTTACCCGATTAAATGTTTTATTCAAACACTATTCGTTACAATTATAAATTGGCGCCGTGGATGTTACTCTTGTGAAACGTCCCGCTCCAAACTTTACAGTCAGATTAGTTACGATATAAATCTTCAAATCGAGCGAGCGTCTATAAATATTTCGATTTAGATCAAGTATTCTAATTAGTAAGCGAACTATTATTAATAAAATTTTGAAAAGATATCGATTTTAAACGTATTTATAACCTTGATAGAGGGCGCTGTTCGTGAGCTAAGTAGAATAATTTGAATATATAGTTTTAATATTTAATTTAAATATAATTTATATATAATATAGGCGAATGACCCGGCTTCACCCGAGAAATCCCTTGGGTGCAATTTCCTTCATACTAAAAGTATATCAATAATAAATATTAGAAGTGCCATAGAATAACAATACAGAAGTAACATAAACTACAGGAAAAAAGTGTGTGTGATGGCAAAAATTGTATTATATTAGTGTTTAGGTATTTGATTTAATTAATATAGTTGATATAATAGTATATATTTATATTATATTTTTTATAAATTAGTTTTAAAAATTGTAAAAAAAAAATGCATCGGCCGGGAATCGAACCCGGGCCGCCCGCGTGGCAGGCGAGCTACTACCAGTGAGCCACCGATGCTTTAAAAAAATGGCCATATTTAGGTATTCATTCCATTCCGGATTAGTCCGCGTAAAAAAAAGTTCTTCAAATTAAAAAAAGAAATAGCCAAAATTTCTAATCAAAATGCAGCCGAAAATTTTCCTCAGGTTTATAAAAAGCGACATGCAAAATTTGGTACCAATTGGTTCAGTAGTTTTTGAGTTTATCGCGAAACAGACAGACAGACAGAAATTGACTTTTATATATATAGAGATAAAATTAACTCTGTTGATTTTTTTTTTGTATTTAATCGATAACAGGGAAGTTACGCATGTTAATGTTAGGAAATATATTTTGATGTTAAGCAAAACCTGCTCCATCTCGTTTTACATAAATGTTGAAAATTTGGTTGAAATTGATGCATTGTAACGAAAGTTTTTAGTGATGTCCACTTATGAAATTTCCATTTTATTAATATAGATTTCTTCAATTATAATAATTATAAGAATTATAAAATATATAATCATTAACATTAGTTTCTTTCATCAAATATTCACTAGGGCAGAATAAGGCCGAAGTCCGGTTATTCAGTTAATATATTGTAGCAATGAAAATTATAAGAATATCCAACCACGAACGCGTTTCGGCCTGTTGGCCTTCGTCAACGGGGTGCATGCTCAAAATTTGGTCCAAGAGGCTTCCTGAGAAATAAATAAATGAGTATTTAAGGCAAAATTTTCGTTAATACGCTGTTCATGTGAAAAATTAAGGTAAAAAATGTTATTTTCTTATTTTCACAAATTAATATATATATACATTTGAATTTTATTTCTCTTCATATCTAATATGTAAATTTGAATCCAATCACCTCTTTATAATAAAATCATGTCTTAATAAAGAATAGTTTATTGTTGGTAAAAAATATCGCGAATGTAGTATTCAATATGCGCCTATTGTATTCAAAATAATTTTGTATGTATTAAAATTTAAAGTATTTATGAATATCAATATATTTTTAATAATAATAATAATATTAAATCTGTGTATCGATTATTTATTTATCATCATACTTCGCCTGTTTATTTACATATGCTAATATGCAAATATTTCCGAGTTGGCATTAACCGTTAGTTATCTATTTGTAAACATAGTGTACCATGGGCGAGCCAAAACTGATCAGCATCATGTTGCTTGGTGAATCAGGGGTAGGAAAGACATGGTTCCTAAGGCATTATCACGCTGCCCGTCATCCCAATTCACCACTCCTGCCTGTTGGTGGACCCACGGACAACTTAGAAGGTCAGATGATGCTCAGATTTCCACTTAACCATTATCTCTACTTCTGGGATACGCCTGGTGATGAGAATCTACGACATATTGTTCATGAGAGTCTTGAAAACGTCCATGGCTTTATTCTTCTGTTTGATGTAAGCAACCGTCAGAGCTATACCAAGACCCGGCTATGGTATGAAATGATACGTCATCGGTATAGAGACCAGCTTCCACCAATCTTACTTCTAAAGAATCACACAAATCAATCTCCTATTAGAGTAATCTTAGAGGATGTTGAAAAGTTTGCCATGGCCAGTGGTATGGAGTTTGGTGGAATCCAAACTTCAGACTTAGGCATGAATAGAATAAACGGATTTGTAGACCGAGTGGTGAAATACTTTTTCTCCCGCTAGCACCATCAACAAACTGAATCTCTACTTGGTAGACGTCTCCATTTGAGAAAGCCCTGAATTTTCCCCCCTCACTGTTTTGAATCTCCCATAAATTATGTCATTCTCCATTTCTGTTTTGTGTATTAAACAACTTTTATATCTCTTAGCTGTGTTTTTTTTTTTTATATTAATAAAGGTTGATCGTGTTGTTGTTGTTGTTTATTCCTCAAGTCGTTTAAAAGATCTCCATTAGGTTCCATTGTCTCAGCTTTACTATTATAGTCCTGGGGTTTTCCCAGAGATTTTTTTTTTTTTTGAGGATTTGATACAATTTAATAGATGTCCAGGACGAGTGAGGTTGTGTGTTTGTGGCGATATATTAAACAAATATCAAATTACAAAAAATGACATCTTATGCCTTTTTTTTTTTGCAATTTATCGAAATTCGAAATTCTAAAATAATGATTAATAAATATCAAATTATCTTTGACAATGTACTTTTTTTTTCTTCGAGCTTGTTTGTAATCTTTCAAAAATATTTTTGTGTATGCAGAAGATAAGAAATAATCTTTGAAGGGTTGACAGTGTTTGTACTGATAAAAAGAAACGTGAGAAGATTTATTTGAGTTACACTTTTTTTTTTTTTTGTAACTCATTTTTGTTTTTTATAAAATCAAAGGTCGTCTCTCCCGTTAAAATATATGTCAAAGCTAGTTTCCATCTATTGACCGTTGCCGTAAACTAGTGACGGTTTGACGGCGTTTAGTTTTGACATTTATTTTGACTGGAAAGGTGACATTTGCTTTCGTAGATCAATTTCATCCTGGCTTTGATTAGTAGCTCGTAAAACTATATTCTCTCTCTCTTCCTTCTGTCAAAAATTTCCATCTCATTCTGTTTTTTGTTTCAAATTGTTTGAATGGCGTGTAGTTTGCATAAAGCGAACACGCAGCAGAAATAAATTGTTATTTAGGTACAATTTGGATTATAGATTAGAAACAAAATGAAATAAACCAAATCTAATTCACACATCATTTATCTTTAATTAAAAAGCATATATTAGATCAAAATATTATTTATTTTACCAATATAACGCCAACCTTTATCACGGTGTTATAACAATTACTTACAATAACTTAATTAAAGATATATTTATGGATTGCTCTATTTTCAAAACATCATTTATGTATTTGTATTTGGTCTTATTGTCTTTCAGACGTGAAGAGTCAGGCGTGTAGGGTTCACATAATGCGAATGATACACGCGGTAGAAATAAATTGTTATTTAGGTACAATTTGGATTATAGATCAGAAACAAAAGGTAATATGACTAAATCCAATTTACACACTATTTATTTATATATATATATTTGGTCTTATTATATCTTTTAGACGCAATAAAAAGACGGTGGACGAGTAGGTAACACCCTCGATTCCCGACAGTCATGAACCGGGATCGAATCCCACGTTAACATTTTGTTTTAATATATAAATAACCTTCATATATTATTCATTGTTGTAATTATCATAAACTAGGAGGCACTTTTTGAGCGGTACCTAATAAAGTGATTTTGAAACGAGTTTTTAGACGTGAGGAGATTGGAATGTAGGGTTCACATAAAACCAACACGCGACAGAAGTAAATTGTTATTTAGGTACATTTTGAATTATAGATTAGAAACAAAAGGTATTAAGACTAAATCTAATATACACACTATTTATTTATGTATATAGATTTGGTCTTATTGTCTTTTAGACGTGAAGAGTCAGGCGTGTAGGGTTCACATAATGCGAATGATACACGCAGTAGAAAGAATTTGTTATTTAGGTACAATTTGGATTATATATTAGAAACAAAAGGTAATGAGACTAAATCTAATTTACACACTCTTTATGTAGTTGTATTTGGTCTTGTTAGCCTTTAGACGTAAGGAGACTGGCGTGTAGGGTTCACATAAAGTGAATGATGTAACGATAGAGGATGCCTGACCGGTCATAGTTCTTCAAATTAAATTCTTGAGAACAATTTTTAACGCTTTGCCAAATGGTTTAATTTTTGTTTGCTCCTGACGAGAACAAATTATTTTTGTCGAGACAATAAAAAGATTTACTGACCGAAGTATCTTTAATTTTTGAAGAATAAAGCGAATAAAACAAGAGGGTGAAATAAGAGGCGGATTACCAATCTTTTTCAAAGTTTTTGAGCGAATCTAATACTTGTAGCTTTCGTGGTACTTGTTCATGTTATCATCTGTAAGGGTATAGGTATAATCTAATAACGTTGGGGTTATGAAGTTGGTACATCACAGTTTCCAACCTCTCTAAAACGTATACCCTTTATAAATTACTATATTCATTAACAAATGTTATAACTCCGCCTTTGCCGGTCCCAAGCCCGGATGAAAAAGGAGGAGGGGGAGCAGTAACAAGCTCGGTAAAAACCTGAGTTCAGCCGGCCATGCTGATAGTACTCTGTAAGGGCTCCTAATCCAGGGATACAGAATGAGCAGCGTTTGTACTCCATGTTAGGAGCGGCTGCATATGGTGTCTGTACCTCATGTCAGAGGCGGCTATTTCTTCTGGAGCTAAGTCGGCCTGCTACTGAGCAGTACTCCCAGTCTTAATGACAAAGGAAGATGCATTTTATACTTCATTCAGTCATTATGGATGTCAAATCTCCTTTGATATCTACTCATCCCCAGCAGACACCATCAACAAGCTCTACAGGCTTGATACCTTGATATGTACGAGTGGAGAGTAGAAAGAAGAAGACACTTCCCCAGCAGACACCAACAGCAAGCTCTACAGGCATTTCTTCTGGAGCTAAGTCGGCCTGCCACTTAGTAGTGCTCTCAGTCTTAATGACAAAGGCAGACGCATTCTACTTCACCCAATGTGGAGATAAGAAAGAAGAAGACCAATGTTATAAAGAGCAAGTCTTCAGACAAAACTTTGTACTGGAATTAAATAAATATAAAAATATTTGCAGAGTTTATTTATTCAGAAATTGGGAGACAAGTTTTCACGCTTCATCAGACCACTGTCTCCGCAAAGGCGTGCAACACACATACAATAAAGATTCACAGAAATACATTTTCAAAAAATCAAAAATTAAAATAGTTTCCAGTTGTAGAGAGTTATGGGGACAGTTTCAATGGGGGTTGGATTGTCTGTGTTGAATATGTTGGAACTGTTGGGGTAGATCTTCTGTTTATACTGTTGTTGTCTTTGGAGATTAAAGATTCTAGAATGAGTCTATTGAATTTGGAGAATATGTTATGGAAGTGACATCTTGTAGGTTGAATTGATGACCTGCAGAATTTTGTACAATAAAAAAGTTTGAACACCTCAGTTAGAAAACCTCTCTATAACCTAT